CGTTTGTTTTAAACACAATTTGGTTTTCCCTTGTCGCCCCTGTCGTATAGAGTCCTATATTTATATAAAGTTCTTTTGAATTTCTTTCTTTCTTTCTTTCTTTCTTTCTTTCTTTCTTTCTTTCTTTCTTCCTTCCTTCCTTCCTTCCTTCTTTCTTTTCTTTTCTTTTTTTCTTTTTCTTTTCTTTCTTTTTTTTTTTTTTAAGCCACGGTTTCTTTGTGTAGCGTTGGCTGTTTGGCTGTCCTGGAAGTCGCTCTGGAGACCAGGCTGGCCTCAGAATTCAGAGATCCACCTGTTTCTGCCTCCCGAGTGCTGAGATTATGCCCAACTTTTTTTTTTTTAATGACAAGAAAAACACTTGCCAAAATAACTGTTTACAGGAATATTTTCTAAACCTTGTCTTTTAATTTTTAAACAGTAGTTCCTAGTATTCCTACCTTCTCCTTTGGTGTGGGCAGAAAAATTTAAAGGTAAAATCGGCAACCCAAGTGATTCTGCTTTTGTCACGCAAGTAAAGTAAAAATTTCACGCCCGAAGCATGGCTCAGTAGATAAGGGCCACAGGGTAGAAGGAGAGAACAGAGTCCCTCAAGTTATCCAGTGATCTCCACATGCAACCTGTATAATGTACATGAAACACACACACACACACACTACATTCTGGGATTCCTCTGTAAAATGTTTACATCCCCCCCCCCAAAAGATTGCTGCTTGTATCTAAAAACCAAAAAAAAAAAAGAAAAGTCTCGAACATTCACTTTACCAAGAGGCAGTTTATATGATGTGCCAATCAGAAGCACAGTGTAAAAAATTTTAAAAGAAAAATTTCACTGCTCAAAATATATACTGACTCAATTTGTGTGTAGGTAGGATGGCTTTATTTATCCTTACATTTTTGCCAATATAAACATTGCCAAACAAACAAATAGCAAATTCTGTGTGGTTTGAAGAGAATGGCTTTCTATGTATAATTCTTTTGTTGTTGTTGCTGTTTTTTTCTACTTATAGTTCTTAGTGACAACAGAATAGTTTTTAGATTAAAAACTACTTATGAGGATGCGCATGCAGCAAGCTATTTCCAATGAAACTTAACAACAAAATCTTTCAGTTGTCAATCTCACCACTATCTCTTGATTAACAACGAAAGACCCATGAACCCTCAGAGGAATTATGTTACAGGGATATGTTGAGGGAGTAATGAATACCAGGACGTAATTATACATAATTTCCTTCCCTTAGGCTTCATTTCATATCTGCTGCCACTTTTAATTCAATATTTGAAAATCTCCCTAGAGACTTGGCCTGCAAAATAAACTAGGGTCCATCATTCAACTCTATAGAGGAAACCCAGTATATATTCCTGCATGCTAATGGAACATATCTTAATCTCAGTTTGATCAAAGGAACCATAAAAAATTTATTTGGGGGGACTGGCTACTCTTCCAGAGGTCCTGGGTTCAATTCTCAGTAACCAGATGTTGCTTCACAACCATCTATAGTGGGATCTGATGCCCTCTTCTGGCATGCAAGCAGAATGTTGTATACATAATAAATGAATTTTTAAAAAGAAAAATACTTTTCATACAGTTGGAAGAATGTTTGAACATTGGTTATTCATGCTATTATAATTATGAAAATATTAGTATAATAATAATATTCTGTTTAGAGGTCTTTGAGAGCCTTTCATATCTGAACCATAACACATGATTTATAAATATTTTCTTCTTCTGTACTGTAGGTTTTTTTTATTGTTTCCTAGAAAGTACCTTTTGAAGCACCATCATCTTAGATTTTTTAATTAAATTTTTTATCATCTCTGATTTTGATGAAACATAATTCATTCTTTGTTTTCACTCTGATTTTCATATCACAATAAGAAACTGCTGCCTAATAGACTCATGAAGATTAAAACCTATGTTACCTACTTAATATTTTATACCTTCAGAATTCTGAAGTACCCCTTCAGTTTCCATACATGAGTACATTTAACATTGGATGTATTCCCCTCATACTCCCCTAAGCATCGTTTTTTTTTTTTCTTTTCGCCTCTTGTAATTCCCTCTTGTCCCCATTAACACTTTTACTTCTACATTCATGCCATATATACATACATTTTAATAAATTAATTAATTTGTCAGAGTTGGAGTCTCACTGAAGCCAGTCTGACCCTAAAGTCACTGTGTCTTGAATTTCTGATCACTTTCAGGAATATGGCCATTTAAAAAATATATGCTGATCCATTAATATAGCCAGTCATTTTCACCTTTTAGGATGGTCTTCAAAAATTTTTTTGAGACAGGGTCTCACTACATAATGCCTATCTGGCCTGGAGTTCGCTTTGCAGACTGTGGTGATATTTTGTTTGTGATCTAACAAATAAAGCTTGCCTGAAGATCAGAGTGCAAAGCTAGTCAAGCTAGTCAGCCATAGAGGCCAGGCAGGGGTGGTACACACCTTTAACCCCAGCAGCCACATTAGTTAGCCACAGAGGACAGGCAGTGGTGGTGCATACCTTTAATCCCAGCACTCAGGAGGCAGACACGGACAATCTCTGTGAATTCAAGGTCACCTTGGGCTACACGAAATTGATCCAGTCTAAAAGAGATACAAAGATCACACAAAGGAAATCCCAGCGTTAAGGAGGTGGAGACAAGAGTGATATGGCCAGTCAGAGAGCGGAATATTAGGCAGTAGGAGACAGTTAGTCTGAGGCAGCAGTTAGTCTGAAGCAGTCTGAGGTGGCAGTCTGAGGAGGCAGTCTGAGAACAGGATCATCCCTTTGGTCAGAGCCTTGGTAGAGGTAAGAACTTTCTAGTGGCTGGCTGCTTTGGTTCTCTGATTTTTCGGCTTTCACCCCCTGAGTGACTCTGAGTTTTTATTATTAATATTGATTAAAATTTGTGCTACAGTAGGCCAGTCTGGCCTCAGATTGACAGAAAACTGTCCACCTTTGCCTTCCCAGTGCTGGAATTAAAGACGTGTGTCACCACATATCATGTCTTCAATTTTTATCTTCAGTGCTTTGTTGTAAAAAATTATTTTAAGTTGTGTTACATTTGTTCATGTTGTAGAACATTTGTTTTAATGATGCAAAGATGTGTTGCATTCTTTTATGTTGTATTTGTTTACCTCTGTGAAGCTGTGTTACAGTGCCTGTCTATAACACCTGATGGTTATAGAGCACATACCCAACCTGAATGATCGGTAGTAGCTGGCCAGGAAAAAGGTAGGCAGGGCTGGCAGGCAGAGAGAATAAATAGAAGAAATCTGTGAAGAGAAGAGAGGGAGCAAAAGAGAACAAGGAGAGGAAGATGTTGGGGGTCAGCCACCCAGCCACCCAGCCAGCCATGGAGTAAGACTGAAAGTAAGATATACAGAAGCAAAGGAAAAAGCTCATAGGCAAAAGAGAGTCGGGAAAGTTTAAATTAAGAAAAGCTGGCAAAAAATAAGCCAAGCTAAGGCTGGGCATTTATAAGAAAGTATAAGCTTGCATGTGATTTATTTGGGAGCTGGGTGGCGGGCCCCTCAAAGAACAAAGA